GACACCCCTGATTTAAGGGTTGCAGACCCCTGACCTATACCCCACTGAGACTGAACTATATTTAATTCAGCAACTGATCCTTATCTGAGGCCTTGAACCTTCGAATCCCCTTTTTATTCCTTGGCATCTCCAAACGGGAGAAAATATTTATTGGCCTGGAATCCTGGAAAACCATGACTGCCGCTGGGCTTGAACCCATGGCCATACCAGCTGCTCTTGGCAAACCTACCTCCGGGGGCACCTGGGAAAAAAAAAACAGGAAAAAAAAAGAAGAAAATCAGCGCATTTCGAACGAGGAACCATCCCAATTCAGAGGGGCTTCCGGAGGAGGAGGAGAAAACCCCTTGGGGGTGGGGGGGCTACCTCGTAGACGGCAAAGCCGATGGTCTCCATGTCCTTCCCGAACCGCCTCTCTTTGCGACGGTGCTTCTGCATCAGGGCCAGAAGGAAGCTGCAGCCGGGCTCCCTCCGCCCGTCTTCGTCCTCGTGGTCGATCTCGTCAAGGCGAATTTTAAACTGCGGGTTAATCCAGAACGTGGCTGCAGGAGGAGAGAGACAGAGAGAGCAGAGGGAGGAAAACATATACGAGAATATATTTTCAAGAAGAAAATTGGGCAGCCATTTGTCTGCTGGAGCAGAGGGTTAGACTAGAAGACCTCCAAGGTCCCTTCCAAGCAGAGGTGGTGTTCAGCAGGTTCTGACTGGTTCTGAAGAACCGGTAGCAAAAATTTTGAGTCGTTGGGAGAACCGGCCAATCCCACCTCTGAATGGCCCCATCAACCTCATTTCTTCTCTGCCTCCCATTGAGTCCCAGCTGATCAGCTGGGTCTCCTTTGGTTGCCCTGCACAGGAGAACGGAGCTGGAAAGCAGGTTAGTGGGGTGGGGAGGGAAGGGGGATTTTGTAGTATCCTTCCCCTGCCACGCCCACCAAGCCAAGCCGCGCCCACAGAACACCACGCCCACCAAGCCATGCCCACAGCTGATCGGCTGGGCCTTCTTTGGTTGCCCTGCACAAGAGAATGGAGCTGGAAAGTAGGTTAGTGGGGTGGGGAGAGAATGGGATTTTGTAGTATCCTTCCCCTGCCACGCCTACCAAGCCACGCCCACAGAACCGGTAGCAACGTTTTTTGAATCCCACCACTGCTTCCAACCCTGTTATCCTACGTTCTATGAAGAAAAAGATGGAAGGAAGGCCAGCGTGAAAAGATTGGCGTGGCCAGATATTGGTCAGGGTCCTTTTTAACCTGACTTGCACACATGTCATCTTTGAATTACCACCATAATGCACCCTGGAAATGACGGTCCTGGTGTAATGATCGTAAAGCAGGCCAATACTCCTCAATTTACGACCATCATGCACCGGTTTCCAGTGAAAACATCGTAAATCGTGATCACATGACTTCTACAGGATGCAGCAAATGACTGTAAATGCGCTGGTTGCTAAGGGTCCAAAAATGTGCATGTCTGTAGGACTGCAAAGAGATATGGCTCGTTCTTCCAGGATTTTTACAAAATATATTATTGATTATAAGCTTGAGCAAGGGGTTGAACTAGAGAAGACCCCCAAAGTCCCCTCCATTTTTTTTATTAAGATTTTTATCCTGCCTTTATTGGTTTATAAGTAACTCAAGGTGGCAAATATGTGATACTAGCTCGATACCTGTGCTTCGCTGTGAAACTATGTGGTCGGGCTTAGTTTTTGGGGAGGAAATTAAGGGGAAAAAATTATGCCTCTGCCTACCAGCATCCATTAGTATTCATCTGGCTAGGGTCCTGTCAGTGTGTGAGAGAGTTGAGGGCTGTTTGGAAACTGAAAGAGTATTTGCTGTGTGAGCAAGGAGACAGCAAGGAGCCTGGGCGTGGCTTAGCTCAACTGTTCTGTACTAAAGCTGCTTGCTGCTATGAAACTGAAACTCCTCTGCTTGTGTTTTGCATTTGGAAGAGATTTCTTTTCAGGTGGGGAGGGGGAGTAGAACTCCTTAGCATGTTAATAATAATAATAATAATAATAATAATAATAATAATAATAATAATA